CGCACGAGGTGTTGCGACACGTCATTCCATGTACACTGTTGTGCCAGCGGACTCCCGCCTCTTCTTGCACGAGGACGACGACAAGAGTGCCCAGGACAACAAAAGCAATCTTTGGGAAGATGTGGCGCATAGAACCCTCCGTTGACAAGGCCCCTCACGCATAAATAATTTCTACCACGAGCATTACCTTTTTTTCTTCTCGTTTTATCCAAAGAACACACCACACTTATTCCATTCGCCGTACACTGCGACACAACCCCAAACATTCACACACATGATCTACGTTATTACCAAAGTTGGGTGCACACGCTCAGCCTAGTTGAACTGCTGCGCAGCGTATCACCGTGCCCGCCGCAAAGTCTAAAAGGCCAACGGTGCTGTCGATGGACTCTGCGGTGACGCTTGGGGCGGCAGCAGCAATGGAATCAGCATGATGTACAAGTTGTGGCCATGAACAAAAAAGCGGAGAGTCGAGTTATTCGCTGTTGGTACGTACACCAAGGCTGTAAACTGCGACCGGGGCGGCAACTCACGGGCGCTAACCCTCAAGCGCCCCCGATACCCCTTCGCTGGGGGGGACGCGACCCCGACCATAATGCCATCTGACTAGAGTAGCGTTTCCGGCTACCTGCCCTCGGTAGCTGATGACCTTCCGCTTGAAATACGTGCTCTGGGATCTTTACACTTCGTATATACACATTTCCTCCGTCAGTTATGCCTTCAAGATATGTTGGTAGGTGATGGATCATCGCCTTTCTTTGTCATGGGCGGTAAGCATAGCGCAGGTATGCATCCAGTTTACGCGAGGTTGAACGGTAAGGACAGGCGCCGCAGGTGAATGGCTTACGAGTACCAGCCATGCGCAGTGTTGCATCGCGTTACCCGCTGTGTGCCCCCGAGAAAGAGAGTGACTGCCGAGAGGAAGAAAATGCCGGGTGCCGAACCCAAAGTGTCCACAACCAGGAGTACGTACGCATACGTCTAACAGAGGGAGTTTTGCAATTTCCACCGTCGTTACCCATAGGTACCCACGCCCCATGGGTTCCCATGGGTTCCCATGGGCACGAATAAGGATAATGTACATCACCCAACAACCGCCCGCTTGCCGATGATGGTGGACAGCGGAGCATCCGCTTACTACATCGACGACAAACTGGTTCCAGGGATCAAGGCGATGATGACAGATTATCGTAGACTGGTCCCATCCCGTGTCATAACCACGGCAGGCCTGCACAAGCTGCGTGGAACAGCTATGGCATCACCGACAGCCACGGCAAGACGCATGTCGCGCGTCTACCCATCACGATAGTTCCGGGGATCGGACGGAGATTGTTCTCATCCGGAGCTGCCCAGACGAAGGGAATAGAAACCATCGTATCGGATTTTCCTAGACTGGAACGGGAAAACGTTCACTTTCCTCTGAGGCGAGATGGGTCGATCTTCAAGGTGGATTTATTTCAAGATTCTCCCCAAGATTTCATCAGCTCAGGCACAGTCGGCATTCCCTACTACCAACGAGGACACGGACAACTGGCACCGTCGTCTCGGACACCTGAACGAGAACAGCATGAAGACGCTGCGCTCCAAGACTGACTCGGGTGTTTTGTTCCAAGAAAATCTTTCCCCTTGCAAGGTTTGCAAGCTTGGGAAAAGTAAGTGCTCAGCTCAAGCATCCAAAGGAGTCAACGGTCATGACAACCTCTCTGTTCGAGTTGGTCTACACGGATTTCGCTGGACCGTTCAAGCCCCAAGCAAAGGGCGCGTCCAACTATTTCAGCAAGTTCACGGATGACCACACCAGATGGAAAGTGGTTTACCCGATATCTTCCAAGGATCAAGCTATCGACACCTTGACATATTTCATTCAGGATTACGTCATCCCCCTGGGGCTAAGGGTGCAGCGTCTACGCTGCGACAAAGGCGGAGAGTACGTGGCTCAGTACTACAGGAGGAGCTACTGCAGGAAAACCGGAATAAAGATGGAATTTGCATCAACAACTGTCCCTCAGCAGATTGGTGTATCGAAACGTGACGGAAGGACGATAATGAACAGGACAAGGTGCATCCTCATCGACACTGGACTTCCGAAGTTCCTGTGGGGAGAAATATGCGAAACGTCGGTATTCCTTATTAATCGCTCTCCTCAAAATACGTCAGAGACGAGGATAAGCTACGCACCCCCGCAGACTAGATTGAAGGGAGGCGAGGTACATTCAAACATCAGGGGTCGCCAAAGGACGCGCTGGGATGAGGAAGGGTGTACATTGTAGGAGCCGCGGGAACGGATGCACGACAAGAAACACGCAAGCATCCAACATCATCGCATGTAGAGAGAAAGAGGCAGAAAGAGAGGCACGATTTTTGGAAAGGACAAGACACATGACATACCTTGTCAACACGGTTGGTTTAGGTGTCCGCCAAGGCTTTGTAGCCAGCGTTTTCATCAGGACCATCGCTTTTCTCGCTCGGAGACAAAGAACATCCCCGTCTCAATCTTTAGTTTACCCTCCACCCCCATCCGCCCCTGGCCTCCGCCTCCTGCCCCCTCGTCCGCGAACAAGCACGGCCTGAGGAAGCGCTAAGCGTCGTCCTGACGATCAATACTCTCGGTGGAGAGGATCGGCCCGACGTATTCTAAGCCGAACAGCATGAAGCTCTCCTAGAACCTGAGACACGAAACAAAGAACAAATAGCGTTCCATGTGAATGTCAGTTTGTTTGACGTCACGGTTCATACATAAATAAATAGCTTGCGACAAACCACCAGCGCGTCGACTGCCTAGGAGCAACGACAGGGCACACTGAAAATGTGAGAGAATGATTCAAAACGCTGTAAACACGTCAGGAACAAAACAAACGAAAGTGTTGGACGTTCAGTACAGCTTGCACGTCCAATAAGCGCTTATCGGCCTGACAATTTGGCGACAGTACACCAGGGAGACAGGGTTAGAAGAGTAAGCTAAAATCAACAAAACCCTCAGCCCCAATGCCGTCGGTGTAGGTTTCGTCATGAATGTCGTCCTGCATGAAAAAGGGACACAGCAGCGTTGAGCGACACATCGGATCGGTGGCGAAAAATGAAAATTGTTCAGGTTTAATTTATGTCAATCTCTCGGCTTTGATGAACGTCCATGGAAAATTTCATGGACGTCCATGGTCGTTCATGAAATATTTCATGAACGTCCATGGATATATAACCGGTCGCCCCGGTGGTCTAGTTGGTATCCGCGAAACCTTCTAGAGGTCAGGTCAGGGGTTCGAATCCCGGCGTAAGCGAGCTTTTCTTGCAAAGTGAGTTTTTCTCTCGCTTCCGCTCCTGGTCTAGTGGATAGCGCTAGTTCGTGTGTACACAGAGGGAAGAGAGTACTGAACTCTTCTCGCATTAAAAATCGAAGGCAAAGTACCGCAGGAGGGGAGGGTAGAGAGAAGCTCTTCTGTGTGACCACGGGTTGGAGTAAACGGAACTAGTGAAATTAGCGCTGATTTGAAGTGAAGACTAAAAAAAAAAAAATGAATGTTCAAGAAATATCTCATGAAAGCCCATGGACGTCCATGAAATGTTTCATGAACGTTCATGAAACGTTCCATGAAAGCCCATAACCATCCATGAAATGTTCCATGATCGGCCATGGAATGTTCCATGCATACGAAGACTTAGAGAATTCGTGCAGTAGATTGTTAAGGAGTGTGGCTGCTAGCATGAAAGGTACATCCTATTTTTCATAGGATGTGGAATGGTCGGGAGGTATTCCTTCTTATACCCCCCCTCATAATTTTCTACTCTGTGTGCCCCCTGAGATGAAGTTGGATCCCGACTTCATCTCAGATCCTTGCTGATCGTCTCTCACCAATAACAAGCAACTCCCCCATCTCTACGTGGCCGTGGACAAGAGTGTCAACGACGGAACCTTCATCTACCTCTAGGAGCAAGCTACCGTCTACGGCTTAACTCCTTGTAAATTGTTTAGGACAACGATGAGGTTGTCCAAGATCACGTAACGTTGCATTCGTCATGGGGGCGTGTTGAAGTGCAGCGCATTACTTCGGTAGGATGTGTGGGTTTAGTAGGATAGATGCAGCTGCATGATTGCTGTATGCCATGATACGTAGATGCGGCGGGATAAACTACGTTTTGTACAGTAGAACGTAACACGGTGTCATGAATGAATTGATGGTTCATCAGATGATTGTAATTGTAGCGAAATATGGAACGTTTCATGGACTGCTGTGGAAAATTTCTTGGAAGTTCATGGAACTCCATGGAACGTTTTATGAAACTCCTTGGACTTCCATGAAACATTTCATGGCAATTCATGGAACTCCTTGGACTTCAATGAAGTACTTCATGAAGAGTTCCATGGAAGTTCATGGAACTCCATGGAACTTTTCATCAAACTCCTTGGACTTTCATGAAACATTTCATGGCATTTCATGGAACTCCTTGGACTTCCATGAAATACTTCATGAAGAGTTTCATGGAAGTCCATGGACTTCCATGTGGACTTCCATGAAAAGGTCCATGGGGCTCCATGGACTTCAAATTTTCATGGAACTCCTTGGATTTCCATGACATCGTGGAACAAGTAAAAGGTTTCTTGGAAGTCCAATGAAGCCCATGCGCACATTTCATGGACATCAATGTCCAACACAGCCAAGGCTCATTGTCGGCATTTATCCACCAAGTTGGCGTCACTGGGATATTTCTAGAACGTCCATGAAACGTTTCATAGACTTCCATGATGAAATATTTCATGGACTTCCACGGACTTCCATGGACATGGTGTCATGGACTTCCATGGACTTCCATGAAATATTTCAATAAAAAATACCATAATGTAGATGATTGAATATTTGTGCGCACACCCAACTTGGTACACCCGATGCGAAGACATCCCCAACACCGGGCAGTTGGCTGGGACCCAGTTCCAGACGCCCTCCCACGGCGCGGGAGGCATGACAACGAGCGGAGGTCAACCGCCCCCTGCTGTTCAGCAGAGCATCATGGCGCATGGTGAGATGCTGCGGGTAGATCGTTTTCGTTTTGGGCATGTGGGCATGTCTGCCTTTATGCGTTCCGGGCCCACCTCGGCCAAACGTCTACCTTGAGAGCCGCCCGTGAGTCGAGGTCACTTGCAGCCTTGAGAGTGTTAGTTGCATATCGACGGGAGCGTGTTGCTGGCCCGGGTGTTGGGCGTTCGTGGTACTAACGACTTGTTGCAGGTGGATATTCGCTCTCTCTTTTGAACTCAAACGTCGACGGATCTACGTATTTCAGACTATTTATGGACATATCGATGGGTGGAACGTGGATGGATTTATGCGCCGAGACAGGCAGAGCTGCCGGATACCAACTTTGCGAAGGCGCCGTTTTGAATCAATCCCATGCGGCAGCAGGATGGCCTGTGGCTGCGAGTCAGTTTCCCTGGTACTCCAATGCCTTGGACAGTCTTTGAAATGTACATGGTCGGACGGCACGAACGTACGAGGGCGCGTTCGTTCCAAAGAAGGTTTCGAAATGACGTGCACCCGCTAACGGTACTGACCCCAAACTCCTTATTTCCCTTCCCATCCATACGCGTGGTTCGAAGGCAACTCCAACACCGCGCAGCGATTGGATGCCCCTACCCCGGCGCACCCGCAGACCCCGGGAGTCATGTCTATGGGCACCGGACAACAGCAGTCCACTGCCGTCCAGCAGTCCACTGCCGTCCAGCAGTCCACTGTCATCAAGCAGTCCACTGCCGTGCAGCAGTCCACTCCCGTCCAGCAGGGCGTCAGCCCGTATGGTGAGTGTGGTTGCTGATCTGGTTGAGCGTTATGTTTTTTGGCAACACCGATTTGTTTACATATTCCTACTCCGCGTAGGCGGGGTGGTCGTTTGAATACTCATGTTCGGTGCATAATTGAGAGGGTGTTAGCACAGCGAGGTGAACGTGATATTGACATGGAGATTGGGCTTGGGTCATGTGTATCGCCCGAACTAAAAAGGCTCGTACAACATTACTTGTATGGACTGCTGGAGTGTGATCCCGTCGTGTATGTGTCTTGTTTGTCCGATGTGCCGCTAGCGTGTACGTAGAGGGGATGGGTGCGGGCCCGGTATCGCTGCCAGATGGTGCTGCCATCCGACCGTTGTGGTGTCCGTATCGAAGTCGCATCGCGTAATTCGATGGCTGGCCGTCTAAGGGTAAAACCCTCTCAATGAGGATTGTGTTGCTTAGGGCCTCCTCATGTCGTACTGCTGGCATCGACAACAGTCACCAGTGGTTACGCTTCTCTCTCGTGTTGTCGCGTCCATATCTTGCCTTGGGCGACATTATTTTTTTGTTGTTGTTAGGATGTACACGGTCGTTTATGGTGAACAAATCACACACGCACACCGTTTAACTCGTGTCAACATTTCATGCATACGTCTCCGGCAAGGCACGCCGTTTATCGGGCAGCGGTCTGGGGCCCGCACATCGGGGCACGTCCACAATGAGGGAGGCATGATTGGGGGTGGTGTTCAACCGTCCACTGCGGTACAGCAGGCCGCCGTGATGTACCGTGAGTTTTGGTGTCTTAGTGTGGGTCTGTGTGTTCGGGGGTTAGTTTCGCTGTCATATGCACATACTTCCGACTGACCGTCGCATCATGATGGGCGTGTCATTGTAACCAAGTCGTGACACCGGCAGGGCATGTAAAGGAATCACATGTTCGAGAGTCTGCGAACATTGGTGTTGGATACACGTGCTGTATGATTTTGGTGTCACGCAGATTGGTAAGATTGCCGTTTGGTAGGGGGCACCGTGATGTGTCACGGGGCTCCTCCTTGCTGTTGGAGCGTTGGAGCTGCTCTGTGTGGAGCACTCCCTCTTTCGTCCGTGTGAAGGACGGTCGCCTACCTCTTGTGAAGTTAATACATCACCGAAACAGTCTCGCTCGATAAATAAGTGGCGTAGGCCGCAAACACTCAAACACTCTAGAGTTTTGCCCCTCGAGGGAAGCCACATCGGGATGAGCTCTACGGGAGACGAGGTGCCCACTGCTGCGAGCGGAGAACAGATCCGCCCGCCGGTGCAGGAGGGCCGCGATGCAGAGCTTGCAAGTTTGCAACTGCAGATTTCGCAATTAGCGGCCCTGGTGGAGGAGTCGATGAAGAAGAAGGAGCCTGGCAGCGTCGTGGCGGATGCAGCCAGTAGTGGCGGCTGGGTTGCCGCCACCGGAGGCCAAGATCAGCCCCTGCAGCCGCACGGCGGAGGCGGGGGATTTCTCCAGCAGCAAGCGAGAGATGGTGGGCAAGGACCACGGCAGCTGCTGGAAGGCGGCTGGGCCAGCAGATCGGGAGCGAACCCTGCGAGACCAGCCGGAGTGGGCCCGGGCATAGGACCGGACTACGGGGAAGCGAGGGGGTTAAACCCTCCAGGTGAGATACCCGTGATTCGAGGAAATGGAGAATACCTCGACGGCTACAGCAGTAGCCACCAGAAAAGAGTGACGGTCAATGCCCCGCTTCTAGACGGAAAAAGCCGTAGCCACGGATTCGATTCGTGGCGAAAATCGTTCATCCAAGCTGCGAAGACCATCGACTTGGACGGGCAGTTTATTGGGGATGCAGAGAGCAGTATCCCCGTGGGCGACCCAAACTTGCCGACCTCCGAACTGCTCCGTAGGGGGCACACGAGAGCAGAAGCCCAACGAGGGCTCCAGGCGTTCCACTTTATCACTACTGCTGTGGTAAAAGAAGCTGACAAAGCAATCATCAGTAACTGTACGTCAGCGAAAGAGGTTCTCGCGGAACTGGAAAAGGTCTACGATCCAGAGTCACAGGGGTCAAAACAGGCCTTGATGCGGAAGATGTTCGACTTTGCAATCCCCACACACAGCAACAGCAACCCCATCGAGCACCTCTACTCACTCGAGCTGCTGTATGCCCGCCTGCGCGAAAAGGGGCTCAATGCTGAACAACCCTTCGTTCTCGCCCACTTCGTTGGTTCCCTCCCACCCGAGTACCAACAAGCGAAGTTCCTGTTGGAGACAGCGACGGCGCTGGATAGAGCCGAGATCGTCAGGATCGTGAGCACGGTGCACGCGAGCCTCCCGGAGGGGAGGAAGGCTCTGAAGGGCCAGCGTAGGGCGGAGCATGCTCTCCTCGCGAGCGATGGTAGCGGCGGGGCAGGAGCGCCGGGCCGCGGCAACAGCGGCCGCCGCAAGGGCGGCGGCGGCGGCAGCGGCAACCAGAAGGGGAGAGGGGATGGCGCGAAGGCTGGTGGCGGCGGCGGAGGTGGCGACAACGATGCGGGTAGCATGCGCGGTCGCTGTTTCCGGTGCGGGAAGAAGGGCCACCAGGTGGCCAACTGCCCCGAGAGCAAGCCCGTGCGATGTGAGACATGCAAGGGCTACGGGCACGACAAGAGCAAGTCCCCGACCGAGGAGGCGGTGCTCGTCGTGGAAGTGCCGGCGGGGGGGGCGTCTGCTGGACGCCACAGCACTGGACGTGGCAGAAGAGGCGCTGGTGGTCGGTGACATCTCAGGCGAGTGTCACAGAGTCGTTGGTCGAGGGGGTGTAGAGCAGGCTAGGCGGGGGAGGTATGTTGCCGATACCGGCGCTACCACCGACATGTTCGCGACCTCAGATGGGTTCGTTCGTTACGAAGAGTGTGATCGACGTGTGCGCGTCGCCGCAGGAGAAACTTCCCTATTGTAGGGTATGGCGACGTGACGATAACCCTTAGCCTGCGCGACGGTACAACCGACCTGTTGTTGAAACGGGTTGCACACGTTCCCCGACTAGATTACAACCTAGTATCTCTCACTTCCCTCTTCAAGGACGGGTTCAAAACGAAAACCCTCAATAAGCACGAGTTGGAATTGGAGAGAGGGGGGGGGAATTCGGTGTACTTCCCCCGATGCGGTAACCTGTACGTTCAGAACGGTTTCCGCAAACACTCCGAACAAGCCTATGCCGCAATTGCTCCTGGTAGCGCGAAAGCGCCCAACACCCCCGTTGACATCAACGACTTCCACTGCGCGCACGGCCACTCCCACGAGGTGCTGCTGAGGACCACGGCGAAGCAGCAGGGAACGACGCTGGTGGGCGAGCTCCGGGAGTGCCTGGGGTGCTCGACGGCGAAGGGGCTTTCCAAGCCCATCCCCAACAAGACGTCGACCCGAGCGGTTAAGAAACTGCAGCGAGTTTTCGTGGATTTGAGTGGAAAAGCTAGGGTGCAGAGCTTGGGGGGGAAGTGGCACACTCTCATTGTCAAGGATGATTACACAAGGTGGAACCGTGTCTATGTCCTGAAGCACAAATCAGACGCCGCTGAGGCATTCGAGAGGTATCTTGCAGAAAACCGGGCAGACGGTGCCCCGTCCGATGTCATGGTCGTGAGATCTGACAATGGAGGAGAGTTTTTTGAGGGAGAGTTCGGCAAGGTGTGCCGGAAGTACTGCATCAAACGGGAGTTCACCCCCGCACACAGCCCAGAATACAACGGTGTACCTGAGAGAGCACTGGGTCTGATCAAGGATGCAGCACTAGCCGCCCGTATCCAAGCGCCAACTCTTTACCCCGGAGCACCGAACTACCCCTCCCTTTGGGCCGAGGCCATAGCTTGGGCATGCAACGCCCTGAACTGCACCTCCACCACCTCCAACCCAGAGAAGAAATCGCCGTACGAGATGTGGCACGGGCACCCTCCCCCGCCGGGGGCGACGTACCCGTTCCTCAAACCTGTCGTATACAAGGTCAAGCGCACACACAAGTCCGAGCCGAAAGCCCAAAAGCGTTTTTACCTCGGCCCGGGAATCAACACCAACCGTGATTGCGTGCGCATCCTGAACGAAAAACGCCAAGCGATAACAACTCGCAACTTCACCTGGCAATCCGTACCCGCCGCCCCCACCGCCCTGCCCCAGTCGCTGCCTCCCATCGCAGAGGAGGAAGAGGAATTCGCGACTGAGGAGGACGAGGTTGGGGAGGGCGCGTCGAGCCAAGGTGGAGGGAGGGCGGAGGGAGAACCTGTGGATGGAGGACCAGGCTTCAACCTTGGCACGACGGCCGCGCCCCAGGAGTCGGGCGCAGGCGACGCTGGCGATGGCGCCCCCTCGAGCAGGGAGGGCGCGAGCGTCGCCCCATCTACCACGTCGGCCGGCATGGCCGATGTGGGCGGCGGGGAGGACGACCGCAGCAGCAGCAGCAGCCGCGGTAGCGGAGGCAGCGGTAGCGGCAGCGGCAGCGGCAGCGACAGAGGCAGCGACAGCGGCAGCGACAGCGGCTTCAACAGCGGCAGCGGCAGCGGCAGTGATAGCGACAGCAACAGCGAGACGGATCTCCTGGCGCTCCGCGGGCCAGAGGCCCGGCGGCTCGCCCGCTTCGACAAGCCGGCGGAACTCACCAGCCGCCGCACCAGAGAGAACCCTCGCAGAAACCCGAGGTACGAGTTGCCCCCGTCGCCGACAAGTGCCGAAGCCCTGCTCGCCTCGGTGGCGAGCCTGCCCGTCAGCAGCACGGAGGAGTTCACCCGCTGGGTGCTCTCGGCGGTCCTCCACGTGGCGGAGGGGCTAGAGGCGAGGGTGGTGCGAGAGTTGCTGTTCGAGCGCGCCGAGGAGGCCCACGCTGTGCGCCAAGAAGCGGAGGACTTCCTGCTGGGCGCGGTGGACCTCATGCTCAACTCGCCAGACGCCTTCGAGACGGCTCTGGCGTCCCACCAGCTAAGTGAATCCCCCATAGGCAAGCGTCCGAGTGATGTAGAACCCTCCCCCATGACCGTAGCCGGTGTTGCCAAGTCTGTGTACAGAGAGGGATGTGAACAGGCCATGAGAGAAGGATTTGAAGGGCACTTGGGCACGGGGACGTTTTCATTCGTAGACGGCACGCCAGAGGGGCGCAGGCCTGTGAACTCAAAGTGGTGTTTTAGTTGGAAGACCAACAAGGAAGGGAAGATAGACAAGTTCAAAGCGCGTCTGGTTGCTAGGGGGTTTTCGCAAATCCCGAACGTCGATTATTTCCATTCGTCTTCCCCTTGCCCCTCATCCGCATCCATTAAGCTGATGTTTGCGGTAGCAAACGAGAAGGGCATGAACCTCAATCACTGGGATGTGAAGCAGGCGTACACACACGCCACGCTAGACGAGGAGGTTTTTCTGAAGCTCCCCGCTGGGTGCGGGGACAAATCGCATAAAATTGTTAAGGCTGAGCGTGCGATTTACGGTCTGAAGCAGAGCGGTAGGCAGTGGGGGTACCACGCTGCTGATACGCTAGTCGAGAACGGGTTCGAACAGTGCAAAGCGGACCCGTGTGTTTTCGAACAGTGCAAAGCGGACCCGTGTGTTTTCCCCAAGATGGTAGACGAAGTCGTGGTGATGATTTCGTGATCTATGTGGATGACATTTTGGTGGCTGGGTCTGACGAGGATTGTGAGGAGTTGCTTGCTTCTCTCAACAAGAAATTTTCCACCAAAAACCTTGGAGAGTGTGAATGGTTTGACGGGTGTGCCATCGAGAGAGATGTAGAGGTTGGGACTCTTAGAATCTCCCAAACCGCGTACATTGACAGCATGGTGAAACGCTTTGATGTTCAATCGACCTCCCACATCCCCGCTACCCCCGGTGCCGACCTAGGACCGAAGCGAGATGATGAGAAGGGAGGGGAGTGGCCGGTGCGGGAGGCCATCGGCAGCATGATGTGGGTGTCGACGTTGTCGCGTCCAGACGTATCGTTCGCCGTGCGTGCGGTAGCGCGCCACGCCCACGCCCCGGCGAAGAGGCACTGGGACGCGATACAGAAGATCCTCGGCTACCTAAAGCAGACGAGGGACCTCGGCATACCTACCAACGGGGATCGGGGTTAGGGCTTGTCGTGTACGTAGACGCTAGCTACGGCGACACGGAGGATAGGCGTTCGGTGTCAGGGTTGGCAGCAACGGTTGGAGGTACCGTAGTCAGCCATGGTAGCAAGACACAGAGCATCGTGTCTTTGTCTTCGACGGAAGCCGAGTACATTGCTGCCGGGGAGGGCGTCAAGGAAGCGTTGTTTGTGCGTGCTGTGCTTTCGTTTGTTGCCCCAGAGACCAGTGGTAGCAGCATCCAGGTCCTTGAGGACAACCAGGGGGCCATAGCGTTGGTGCAGAACCCCCTCAGCTCAGGCCGCACGAAACACATCGACGTGAGGTTTCATTTTATCCGCGGATTGTTTAGGTCGGGGGATATTTCGGTCAAGTTCGTTCCGACAACGGAGCAACACGCGGACCTCCTAACCAAGGCCCTTAGCAGGGCCAGTCTGCAGTACCACCGGCGCAAGTTGATGAATTTGCCGGAGAAGCTGTAGCTGTTTTTTAGCACTTGCATTGGATTTTCTAATAAGTGCGGCCGTTGTGATCCGCTGTCATACCGACGGTTTTTCTCTGTGGTGTTAGGGTTTCTTTCGAGGGGTTTTGCCCGGATGCCGGGTTTCCCCTCCACATATTACCATGTTGGTATTTCTGATGTATCCAGGGGCGTTCTTGCCCCATTGATGGTTAGTCACTCGCGTGAAGAACCAGGGAGGGTGTTCGAGAGTCTGCGAACATTGGTGTTGGATACACGTGCTGTATGATTTGGTGTCACGCAGATGGGTAAGATTGCAGTTTGGTAGGGGGCACCGTGATGTGTCACGGGGCCCCTCCTTGCTGTTGGAGCGTTGGAGCTGCTCTGTGTGGAGCACTCCCTCTTTCGTCCGTGTGAAGGACGGTCGCCTACCTCTTGTGAAGTTAATACATCACCGAAACAGTCTCACTCGATAAATAAGTGGCGTAGGCCGCAAACACTCAAACATCACATACTTCCAAAATACATATGTACGTGTTGTTAGTTGATGATTGGTTTATGGTTTGTGGGATAAGGTATACGGTAGCGCCTAACGCACGTCGATCGTTGTTGTCGTGAAACCGATTGCACACTCTGCGCGAAGGCACTCCCGAGCCAGCGCCTTCAGCCAGAGGTCATCCATCGGGTAACTATACACCGGCGGCCTCCGGGTTCCAGACGGACAATCCCGGGAACAACGGGTTCAATTATGGTTAGTTTTGGTTTTGGTGCTGTTGCCGTTGCCTTTCTGGTTACTCGAAGCATATTGTTGTCAAACTGTTGAACGTAACAGAGCGTTCTCTTGATCGAAACGCTATGAGTTGTTTAGTGAACTTTGCGGAAATTATAGTGTCACTCTAGGCGTGGTGACCTGTCCGCCCTTCGCCTATACCAGATGCGTGATAATGCCATGTGCTGTTCTTCCTGAGATGACACGTGTGTATTGGTGGACGACGTGCCTAATTCTATCCGTAATTCTCGTCTGTCAGATCCTCCTGGACATGGGAGAAGCACGGACAACGGGCAGACGGCAGCCCAGCTCCTATCCATCCAGAGCGCACAGAGAAGGCCCTACGGCGAGGAGAAGCGTGGGGAACATGCCCGTTTAGGTCAGCTTCGATTAGTGATTTTGAGTCCAGTTCTACCCTGCTTCGTGGGTGGTTCGTGAGCAGGTCTTACGTTGATGAGTCGTCTGCCAGTTCGTCTGCCAGTTGCAAGACAAACCATAACAACGTTGCGCTCGTAAGTTCTGATCCACGAACACTCCCCGTCTCTAGATGTCGCAATTTGCAACACATGTTCTGTATTTCAGCAAAAAGAGGACATGAGCTTGTTTCATTAGTATGAACCGATGTACCGTCAAGACGATAAACATGACGAATCATGTATACCCTTTGGCTATTGCAGTGCAGCATCGCGGGGCCGGACCGAGCGGAGGGCTTGAGCAAGGGAGTTCCTTTCAGCAACGTCAACACGGGACAACTGCTGGGGGCTGTGAAGGCGTCTGTGTTGTATCTAGATATTATATTTGGCGGTGAGTCATAGGTGACGACATAGGTATTCTGCACGTTATGTGTGATTGTTTCTTTCTGTTTGGAGTTTCGTATCCGGGCGAATCTGAAAATCCGCTTTTCCGGTGTTTTGGTGAGACGGAAGGTACTTCTATAAAAGTCCACGACCACAACTAGATGTCCTCCAAGTCGACTCCTTTTCTGTTTAATCTTATGCTTCTTCTGCTTTTCTTCCGACTTTGTTGGCGTCTCCGCAGGTGGTGACGGCGGGTACAACTCGTCAGAGGGCATCGGGGTCGAGAAGGTTGTCGCCGCCCCGCTCACGTCTGCCGCCACCTTGGGCGTTGATGCGCAGGGGACGGGAGGGAGTTCGTCGACTTCGGCGGCCACACATGAGTCTGTCGCCGACCCGGTCAAGACGGTGATCAACCCGTACCTGAAGGACAGCCGTACTTCCGGGTCTAAGACATCACGCCCCGGCACGAGTCCTGGGAGCCGTACTTCCGGCGGAGGCGCCCCCACCCCGGTAGGATGCAACAAGAAGGCCGGTTTTGTTCCTGGGGTTGGCGTCCCCTCTCGCCTCCCCGACTCCAGACGCAAGTCTGGTTGGCTGTCCGTGCAGCATTCTCCTGCTCCCTCTGCCCCCTCGGACAGGCCTACCGAGGTCGTCTCCCGCGTGGACAATGTCCATGTCAAAAAGTCGGTCCAGGCCGCCGTGGCGCACGCCGTGCCGAAGCATCTAAACGCGGCGCTTACGGGGGCCGCCCTAAAGAAGGCCGTCGACAGCAAGGCCTTCAACCAGTCGCTGGGGGCTGTCGTCAAGCAGCAACTTTCGGGCCCGACCAAGAAGTTCAAGGAGGATGTTAGGAAGTCAGTGTTGGACGCCACTGCGGAGGGAGTGTCCAACATGCTGCAAGGGCACCTCACCAAGATACAGCAGGTAGTGAAGCAGGGGCTGAGTGCATTATTAGGGTATCTAGACTGAAATTGTTTGGTTGCGGTATGCAATGTTGCGCTGGCAATGTCTAGTTAGTCCGTCAGTAAACTGTTTCACGAGGGTTGCCGTTGTTTCGCGTTCTTGCAGCTGGGCTCTTCCATCAACACACGTACGATGACTGCTGCAAACTTCCTTTTCTTACTTTCTCGAAGGCGGTGAACGCGGCTACGCAGGCTCAAGAGCAGCAGAGCCTGCGCAATGCGAAGTCGGCTGCACCCCTGCAACAGGCGACAGCTGCATTCTCGAAGGCCGGCGACGGGAAGAAGGTATGTCATGAGTCGTGAGAGGGGTTGTTCGAAGCATCGTACGCTTGCACAGAATGCTTGCACGTACGACTGTTATCGAGTCATAAAGGGTTTAGTGACGGCATGGAGGTTTACCCTCTTTGTATTTGGAAGTCGTTGCTGAAGTCTCGGTTGCATTTTCGCACTAAACTTTTCATCTCGCTAGGGTACGCCCTGTGTCACAGCTGTCTTATTCTGACGTTGTTGAGATTGACGTCGACTACGTAGAATGTTCTGTTGCAGAAGGTGGATGAAAAGTCAACTCTGCGACAACAACTACATACATGTTTGGTAAATTTACGCGCTACCCGGTGCACTCTCTCGTTCAACGGCGATACCATCCCGACAACTATGCTATGACCTCAAGACGAGAATATTGCAGGGTTGTTTCGCATTTCCTCAGATACATACGAATTCTTGCGCGTTGTCCCTCGCACGCAGGGGAAGGGTGGCGCTCCAGGTCTCGACGTGAGTATGATCGATGAGAAGATCACGAACACCGTCGACACGAAGGTGGCCCAACTGCGCCAACAAATCAGCTCGGACGTCCGCCAGCACATGACCACCCTACTGGCCGAGCTGCAGAACTACCGGCCGGGAGGCGCCGGTTTCAACATAGCCCGAGCAACGTCGTCCTTGGTAGGTGCTTGGGTGACAGAGAGCCTGGACGGCCTCGCTCAGTCAGTTGCCACGAAGGTGACGACGTAATCCGACAAGGCCGGCGGCGGTTCGAAGACTCCGGAGAGGAAGGCCAACAACTCTACGGATGGAGTAGGAAAAGACACTCTCTCCCGTGTACTAAAAAGCCTCGCCAACAGGTATGCCGAGTTTGTGGTTGGTAGGCCTTGCGAGTTTTCATATGTGGAGTTTCACGCATGTCGTTAACAGGTCTGTAGCTGGAGGCTTCCGTCGAATCTGCATGGTGTTTAGCCTCTCGGGGACGGCGCAAGTTGACATGGTGTATGTTCTTGCAGACGTTTTGGTCGACATGCTACCGGTTGGTAGTATCCCGCCTTTCGACGTTCGGTGATGCAGTAGCACGTTCGATCGGCATTTTTCAATCTCACATCCATAAACCTGAGTCCTGGCGTGCGTGTGCGTAGCCTGTGTGTAGCGGCACGTGCGTCACGCGTGGAGCCAGTGGGGATACTTGAGCGTATTTTAGCACGCGCGCCACTGATGGCCGGAGGAACACCGGCAATATCGAGATGAAACATATGCTTTCTTTGAGCTTCCATGTTTTCGCGTAGCGTTGTCAGCTTTCCACGTGCACCTATCGCCATTGTGTTACACGTTGTCCCAGTTTATTCCTAACGCAAGCACTTGCGATGCGCACATCTCAGGGAAGATTCAGAGGCTACAAGGCAGTCAAGCGCCACACCGCCGAGTCCTCGAAAGAGCGCACTCCGGGGGGCATCAAAGTATCCAGGGCGCTCGATAATCTTCCCAGGCGAAATTCGTGAGTTAGAAGAACAAGACTAGCGAATTTTGACGTCGCCCATCAGTTGTTCGAGTAAGTGGTGGCGTGCACAGCACATGACAAGGACACCGTGAATCGTATTCCATTCGTCCATGTAAACAAGTTTTTTTTTAGGTAACAATCCATCCCTTCTTTTTTTGCACAGGATAGGCACAACTTCCTGGCCCAAGGGCTCTGTTACAACCCCTAGGTTACTTTCGTACCCGTGACTGATATGCGTGGCCTTCCCCGTCCACGTTCGTTTGACAATTGCAGCGATTCCGGTCAAGACTGTACTTCGCAGCGTATGGGCGTGTTGAGCAACGGGGCTGATTTCGGTGGCAGTTCTCAACAGGAAACGGGTGCACAGCAGCAGCAGCACCACCACCAGCACCACCAGCACCACCAGCCCATGCAACTTCGGTCCGTGGCCATTCAGCAGCAGCCGATGCAGCAGTCTGCGATGGCCGTGCAGCAACAACCGCCCATGAGCATGCAAACGATGCAGCAGCAGCCGGCGATGATGGCCATGCAGCCGGCCCATACGATGACGATGCAGCCTAGCATGCAGCAGCAGGCGATGGCCATGGGGCAGCAGCATGTCCAGCAGGAACTCCCGACGACCCAACAGGCTGGGTTTTTCGGTGACGGAGTTTCCACCCAAGTCTGCCGTGCCAACGGCGCGTGGTCGTGGGGACCCATGGGCTAGATAGCGTTGGCCTGGCGAGTGTCAGACGCCGCCAGGCTTCTTTCTCATCCTTGCTACAATGTACTGGTATTTGGTTTTAGGGTCATGCCTGTGTGTCTGTCGTAGGGGATAAAATTAGGGTTCTGTCGAGGAATCACGGTGAAATTCTGCCTCAAATAATTGGGGAGGGGGAGGGGGGGGGGGTGGGGGTGGTGATACCAAGATGCCCGATGTAGCGCAGCAGTGAATCTGACGCTGGGTATTTGTGGTTCATGATTGGATTCTTTCCCGGGTTTTACCTGCAAAGTCGACATCGATTTATTTGTATTTCGAGCGGGACATCCGTACTTAATTTGCGGTAGTTGATGCTTCGATCATTACCCGCGTTTTACCTGCGAAGTTGATAGATGTTGGGTGTCCAGTGGGACATCCGTGCTGCATTTTTTCGTAGTTTATGTTTCGGTTATTTCCCGCGTTCTACCTGCGAAGTTTATATCCGCTGAATGTCGAGTGGGGCATACAGTCGTACTGCATATTTTTGGAAGTTGAGGTTTCGTTTTTTCCGCGTTTTTCCTGCGGGGTTGATAGGTGTTGAATGTCGAGTGGGACATTCGTGCTGCATTATATTGGTAGTTGGTGTTTCGAATATTTCCCGCTGATGAGTTGGATGTTTGATTGATTATTCTACGTGGATGAATCGAAGCTAGATCAGCATCGAGTAACTTTTATTGCCGGACGATTTGGCTAAGTATAGTAACTACAGTAGGTTAACAACTGACCTGCAGCATAGCGCTATCTTGCCTTACTGGTGTAGGCCATACTACAAGGAGGGGAGAGCCAACAGCAGCAGTAGCTCGAACGAAAAATATACCAGTATACGCCAAAACACCTTGGACTTCGGTTCTATCGTTCGCGAAGAGTCTCCTGCAGTCCGACGACGCGGAGTGATTCGTCTGACTTCCGTCACCGGAGTACAGGTCGCGCAAAAGGCGGCGGGTGTCGCAACACGTAAAACCGTACGTGATCGGTCGCTGTGGAAACCAGATAGATGCAGAACGGGTACGGCGGCGGAATCGCAGTATCAACGCGAACGTATTATCGCTGCGTAGGACTCATTCGCGTAACTGACACGCTTGTCCCACCGGATAGGTAGGATTCCTATCCCGATGTCTGGGTTTGACCATGTTGTTTCTCCGGGTTGTGACCAGGATGTTGTGTTTTTCCTACTGTAAATAATAGCAGAGGTCAAGGACAATATTGAGTCAAATCTATTCGGACAATACACCGTCGTCGTCCCGACTAAAGGACCATAGCATGAGTTCCAGTTTCAACCTTATTTCATCGCGGCTTGCACGTTAAAACATGAGTGATCGCTTAACTCCCATCCATGATAGTGGCTACGCATGAGCGGGGAGCGAATGAATAAGCTTTAGCTTCAGTCTCATATTTCAATATCCGTGGGTCGAACTTTTATTCGCATAGCCCACCCCTTGCCCGACCCTGTCTCAAATGCCGATCTCGAGCTACAGTGTAAATCTCGTGGTGCCCGAAGTATGGTTCGGTAGGCAATCGCAAACCATTTCCCCTGCCCGAGTTTCAGCAGCTCCTACCTGCTGTGGCCGACAGGACTTGGCCTGGACTGTTCCTTGTCTGTGTCGCCATGGGAACGGCCGGTTGAACAGCGAAAGAGGGTCCTGCGTGCTGCGCGCCACAATCTTTTTTTTTTTGTGATTTTCTTCGTGAGTGACAATGCGGCTGTTGTTGCTGAATTGCTTCAGTCTCTGTGGCTTTGGGCTGCACGCGTTGCTCGCGTAGGGGTTGCTCGCGTTGTAGGCGATGCGCGTCACCTACATTTTGCGCCTGTTGCAACAGCAGGACAACAGTTGAAGAGACAGACAACAGACTTTTTTTCCTGTTGCTGCGTATGCATGGGTGGTATGCATCGCACAGTAAAAGCGGCATATGCATGTGGTGTGGAATACATCGTATAAGCGTGTTGCCTTTTTGGAGTCACTGCGTAGTCAGTCGTAACTTGAGCCATAAGGCAGATGGCAGGACAATCTTATTTACAAAAGTGAGGTGTGTGGCAACGGACAGTTCCCACCTTCGTGCAGCGGTGCACATCTATCGCGGACGGACTTGATACTACTGCTGCTGTAGTTCGTCCGTGTACAGCAGTGGTCATGTTCTTTTTTGTTCTCACTTCGTCACAGGAGATGAAAGTCCGCACTGTATCTGTTCTTTGGTTGTGTTGCTGAGCCCACATCGGATACCGCCGTCCGTTACACATGTCTGACAGCCTGCGGTGGGCCAAAGGGACCAGAGTAAGTGGGTGTGTTTTCGAGAGTGGATCCCTTGTCAGCTCTCCGCTCTCTTCTTTGTTGTCTACCTACAGTACCTGTCTCGCCTTTCGCCGGTTGGTGGGGTCCCAACAACATCGAACTACGTCAACCGCAGGTGGTTTCGCTTCTTGCTCAGTAGTAAGAAGAGCCTTTTGCACCCGGCTGCTGCATGTGAGGCGATTTGCGCTACCTGTTTATGTCAAGCGATGGACTTGGGCCCTACCTAATACAGGCCACGCAGTGCTAAGTGGCATCTTCCAACGGCCCAGAGCGAGTAACGAACAGGTTGGTTGGGTTTTCTATGCTTATTTTGCCTCCCTGTCGCGCCTGGCTCACTTGTTGTCTTGGTCTTTTTCGTTTTTCATGCTTTGTTTTTTGGGGTCCCCCAGCCACCCGCCCACCCATCATTGCATTATTATTTTTTGGTGGAAGGGGTGTGACTTGCCGTATTCATGAACGACTGGGCCCCGCACTTTTTACTCGCACCCCGTTCATTGTCAACACAATAACACCATATATATATATCCTCTCATTTCTCAGCACATCAGTCTTCTTGTACAATGCCCACCGACACGTCAAAGGCTTGCGGAATTATGGTAGACAGACAACAGCAGGCCTTTTTTTTCTGTTGCTGGATATGCATGGATGGGTGGTATGCATCGCACAGTATAAAGCGGCATATGCATGTGGTGTGGAATACATCGTATAAGCTTGTTGCCTTTTTGGAGTCACTGCGTAGTCAGTCGTAACTTGAGCCATAAGGTAGATGGCAGCACAATTTTATTCTGAAGCCTCATCGTTCGACGGCACGACTCGGCCTTGACTGTTCCTTGTCTGTTTCGCCATGGGAACGGCCGGTTGAACAACGAAAGAGGGTCCTCCGTGCTGCGCGCCACCGTCTATTATTTGTTGCGTTTGTTTGTGATTTTCTTCCTGATGAGTGACCGTTTGACATGTATGTGCGGTTGCTGCTGTTATTATCCTCGGAATATGCTGCAAAGGTCGTATCGTCTCTGTCAGTCGCAGCTGTACGCTGTGCTCGCGTAGGAGATGCGAATTCCTTAGTTTTTTCTCTACTGTGTCAATATCGATGAAGAAAAGCAACGGCAGCACGGTTGAAGATACAGCCAACAACAGACGGTCCGCCTTAGTTTTTTTTCTATTCTCTTGCTGCATAGTCTATGCATGATGGGTGGTATAGCATCGTAAGCGTGTTGCACCGTGTCTGCTGCGTAGTCGTAATTTGAGCGATAAGGCAGACGGCAGCACAATCTTATTGACGTAGTGAGGTATGATAACCAGCAGTCTGCTCGTTCGTGGAGCGGTGCGCATCTATCGCGACGGCAAGCGTATTGAGACAACACAATAGTCCGTCCGTGGTGCGTCTAGACTAATGTAGTCATGTTCTTTTTTTGTTTTGCCAGACTTCAAACCACAAAGGAAAGAAAGTCCCCACAGTTCGGAAACGGCGACTGACTATGTTTTGTTTGTTATATTTGTTGTGTTTGTTGTTGCTGAGCGCACATCGGATGTCGCCGTTCGTTACACTTGTTTTACAGCCTTCGGTGGGCCACAGGGACGAGAGTGAGTGAGTGTCTTCTCGAGAGCTAATGCCTTCTCGACGCTCTCTTCTTATTTATGGTCTACAGTACTCGGCAGGATACAATTCTCCGAGATCTCCGAGGGGGTTACGCAGATGAGATAGATATGGGTATGATAGACAGACTTGGTGCAGCAGGCTTTGCCTCTTCTTGCTCACGTCTGTCACTCGTTAAACTCTCTAATAAGCAAGGAACTTGAGTCACTCCTTTGTGCAACACGCTCTCGACAAGAGCCCGCGAGCGTGATAACATAGTACACGCGCCGACACCCCAAACACGATATCGTGGAGTCAGCTGACGTCGGTAGGGAAAGGTTCGGGAGGTAGGCACCGGAATACAAGGACAGCAGCAGGGCGGTATTTGCTCGCGCTCGTCAAGGAGATCCAGGGAACAGGGTTTGGAATACAAGGGCAGCAGCTGCAGGGCGGTTTTTGCCCGCGCGTGCCAAGGAGATCCAGGGTAAGCATTTGGAATACAAGGACAGCAGCAGCAGGGCGGTTTTTGCCGGCGCGCGTCGAGGAGATCCAGCTATTAGAACAAGAAGCAGTTTAAGTTTAGACATGGAAGGCGAGGAGACAGACAAGCAGAAGAAGCAGAAGGAGTTGGAATTGGGTCTGGCTGAGGCAAAAGCGGAGATAGCAAAGATGAAGCAAGCCCACAAAGAGGTGGAGCAAGAGTGGAAGAAGGAAGCGACTACGGCTGCAGATGCGGCGCGTGCAGCTGCAGATGTGGCACGTGCAGCTGCAGAAGCGGCGCGCACAGGGCCCTCTGGTGGATTAGGACCCGGGCATCAAACGGTGAGCATGGCCGACAGCGGCAGCCAGTTGATGAGCGGTCGTTTTGGCACTCGAAACCCGCCGAAGCACCCCAACGAGCCGGGAAAGTTTATGAGCTGGTCACGGAGGATGCGGACTTTCCTCGCTGTAGAAGGTCTGGAACAAACCCTTGATCACACACCGCCTACTGGCTACGTTCATATCATCGGCTGTCCGGACCGAAACTACCTCAACCGCATTCATGGAGCGCCGCTGGTGACAGCACACTTGCGGGCGTGGGGGTACCTCGTGGAGTCAATCAGCGGTTCAGACATTGAAGAAACGTTGTTTGCGTGTAGCTGCGTGCCGGAGGCATGGACCGCTATCCGTGAGTGGTCATTGCCCACTACTGACGCCGAAAAGAGACTGCTTGAGCGGCAGTTGGAGACTGTGGAGATGTCCCTTGGTGAAAACCCGAAGCTCTTCTTCGCCAGAGTCGACGGTATCGTCAACTACGATGCGCGCAGTCGGCATCGAAAAATCTGAGCGGCACGTTGTACAAACAATTGTCCGCCAACTATCGTCTGATTACGATGTCGAACGCAAGACCACCCTATCCGATTCCGACATTTCGCGTGCGGGGGTTGAAAGCATTGTTCGCAAGGTTGCAACCAGCTGGAGAAGGTGAAGGTGTCTTCGGCGACGTCGGTGCAGCCAAACCACGATCCTCACGCGCTTGCTGTTAGTGGTTTTCGGTCCGGCGGCGACGGCCGCGGCGGCGGCGGCGGCGGCGGCGGCGGCGGCGGATTGCGGCAGCGGCGGCGGCAGCGGCAGCGGCGGCGGTGGCATCGGTGGCGGTTCTCGGAGGGGCGGTGGTTTTTCTAATGGCGGGCGTGGACAGCAGCACAATACCGGGCGGTGGACAGCGATCCAGCAGCAACAACACTTCGGCGTGCAACCAATCCACCAGGCACAACAGCAGTATCAACAGCAGCTGCCGGGGTCGCGTCAGCAGCTGGGACAACATGCCAGACCGCAACCCCCGCCCCCACATCATCCGCCTCCGAATTACCCGACATGGGGGCCTGGGGGTCTCTTCGACTGTGGACGCAACGCCGTGTACCGGCAGGAGGAGTCGGCTCCGCCAGCAGGCGCTCCGATGGGCGCTGTTCACCGCTGTGAGAGGTGCGGGCGTAGCGGGCATACCTTGAGCATGTGCAATGCGCCGCGGCGATTTGAGGGTGCCTGCTCTGCGTGTGGTGAGTACGGTCATGTGCGTCGTGTGTGTTCAACAGTCGTCGGTCTTCCTCGTATGCCCCCACACATCAACGTCGTTACTGCCGGGCAGACTCCCAGCGTCGGTGGTAAGTCGATGGTGTACCATCAGCAAGACGGCGGTGGTGCTGTAGTAGGAGACAGTAGTGGTGTGACGTGCGGGCCGCCGGACGGTGGTTCGATGTACGGGACCTTCACCGGTGCCGTTACACACAACGCTGCGCAATATGCTTCACACCCTGCACCCCCCCAGCCGCAACAGCTCCAGCAGCAGCAGTGGTCACCTCATCAGCAGCTGGAGCAGCAGCAGCCGCCACCGCCGCAACAGCAGCAGCAATATGGTGTTAGTGGAGTGGGGGGGACCGGATGGAGCAATGGTGGAGTACAGCCGTTTGTTGGGGTGCAGCATGAGAGCGGCGGCGAGTTTGAGGACCTTGCGGCCACGGGGGTGGTGAAGGTACCGGGGGGGGGGCAGACGGTGGATTGCTCCATTGTACCTTTGGAGGCTCGGGGCCAACTGGTGGTGCACCGTATCATCTTGGGGGGCATTTCTTTGCCCTACAGTTTGCCCTGAGTGCCCTCTCTACCCGCGACATGCTGTCCTCGATTTTCCCGCGTCGCCGTCCTGGATCGACTGTGTGGATTGGTGATAGCGCGTCTACCGTGCACGCGACCAGCGACGGCGCTCACGTCTACGACACTCGCCCTCCCCTCGCCGAGGAGACTTTCCTGTTCATCGGTGACGGTCGCAAGTTGAAGGTGGAGTGTTTTGGATCGCTTGATGTAGTGTTCCACTGCAGGGAGGATGTGGTGGTGACGCTGAAGGACATAGCGGTCGTGCCCGATCTTGCGTTTGACCTCGTCTCCCTCAACGTCGTTCAGGAGACCCACGACCTCCTCATGAATAGCGCTGGCACTTGGGTCCTCAACGGTCGCGTGCATTTTTCGAAGCTCCCCACCGGTAACTACATTCAGGCTACTCGGATCGCACATGGCGCCTCCCCACCTGCGATGGTGGCGGCGACGGTGCGGCCTGGGCGGCCCAGGAGTATCAACATCAACGATCTGCATGTTTCTCTTGGCCACACCAACGACGCGAATGCACGGGAGACCGCGAAGCAGCTGGGAATTCAGGTGACCGGTACCCGGGGATACTGCGCTGGCTGCGGTGAGGCGAAGGCGATTCGACGCAGCGTTCCGAAGGAGACGAAAGCCAAGGCGGGGAGGCCGTTTGGGCGTGTCTTCATCGATCTGACCGGCCCGTATCCGCCGTCCACGGGTGGAGCTCGGTACTGCATGATGGTGGTGGACGACTACTCCAACGTGGGGTGGACGCTGTTTCTTGCGGACAAGAGCGGTTCCACTTTGTGTGACGCTTTTCGCGCGTGGTACGTCGACACCAAGCAGTTGGCGGGGACTCACGGTGGGTTAGGTGTTGCTCGTTTTGATAACGGGACCGAGTTCACCAACGCCGGCTTCCGGCACTTGCTGTCTGAGCTCGGGGTTGCGGTGGACTTTACCCCTGTCGATGGTGCGAAGCGCAACGGGCGCGCGGAGCGGAAGATCGCGCTTGTCGTCGAAGGGGGCAAGGCGGCGTGGTTGGAGTTCCCACGACTCTTCCCGGACTTGGATTTTCCTCGAAAGGCAATGGCGTGGACGACGATCTGGCCGGAGGCGCTTGCTTGGATGAACGACACGCTCAACATGACCGCGCAGGCTCACACACCCGACAAGCTGTGCCCGTGGGAGAAGCTCTACAAGCGACGTGCCACGACTCTTCCGCTGCCGTTCATGATGCCCGGTTTCCGTCACCGTAACCGGAAGAACAAGACCGAGTCCAAGGGGGAGCGCTGTTTCTATCTCAACACCGGCAACAACCACTCGTCTACTACGCACAAGGTCCTCCTCTTCTCAGGGGTCTGCAGCTACTCCGCGGACGTCACTTGGGGCTATCGTCGGGCGCCTTTCGTTGGGGAGATACCCACGTGGGGGGGCGGAGCAGTAGTGGACGCCACGGACCCTCTCGGGGCACTGAGGGTAGCGGCAGGAGCGGCGGCATCGGCGGCAGCATCTGCAGCTGGAGCGGCGGCCCCCGGCTGCAGTGTCTTCCCCGCGGCGACGGTGGGGGAGGCGGCCGGGGCGCAGGCCCTCGCGGCAGGAGCGGCGGCATCGGCGGCAGCACCTGCAGCTGGAGCGGCGGCCCCCGGCAGCAGTGTCTTCCCCCCGGCGACGGTGGGGGAGGCGGCCGGGGCGCAGGCCCTCGCGGCAGGAGCGGCGGCATCGGCGGCAGCACCTGCAGCTGGAGCGGCGGCCCCCGGCAGCAGTGTCTTCCCCCCGGCGACGGTGGGGGAGGCGGCCGGGGCGCAGGCCCTCGCGGCAGGAGCAGCGGCATCGGCGGCAGCACCTGCAGCTGGAGCGGCGGCCCCCGGCAGCAGTGTCTTCCCCCCGGCGACGGTGGGGGAGGCGGCCGGGGCGCAGGCCCTCGCGGCAGGAGCAGCGGCATCGGCGGCAGCACCTGCAGCTGGAGCGGCGGCCCCCGGCAGCAGTGTCTTCCCCCCGGCGACGGTGGGGGAGGCGGCCGGGGCGCAGGCCCTCGCGGCAGGAGCGGCGGCACCGGTGGTGGGGGCAACGGCAGGTGAAATTCCCGTGAAGGCGGCGATGGAGCTAGATTGGGCTGACATGTACCACGCGCCACCCGAGCGGAGGGTGATGCACCGGCAGCAGCACGAGGTGACGCCTGCCGTCACGAGGTCGGGGTCTCGCAGAACCGGCATGCCGGGGGCTTTCGCGCTGCTGGCGGCGGATGAGCAGATGACCCGTTCTCTTAGTGGCCCTACAGCGGATATCGATGACCCAGCGTTGCCGGATGGTATGGTTGCCGACTTGGAGACTCCGGAAACTTACAAGCAAGCACATGCCGGACCGCATGATCCCATCTGGCGAGCGGCGGAGCGCAAGGAGATTGCTGGGCTTTCGGCGGCGGGGACGTTCGAGACGATGGCAGCGGGGGAGTAGCAACGAGGAACGAACGTGATCACGGCCAAGTGGGTTTACGCGTGGAAGGGGAACGAGTATGGCCGTCCTGTCCGTGCAAAGGCGAGGTTGGTGGCTCGAGGTTTCGGTCAACGTGAAGGTATTGATTTCTTTGAGACCTTCTCCCCGTGCCCGTCTGTCACTAGTATCCGTTTGTTAGCAGCTCTTGCATGTGAGTTGGGTTTGGACTTATGTCATTTCGACGCGAAGCAGGCCTTTGTACAATCAGAGTTGCAGGAGTGTGTGTACCTCCGCCTGCCGCAGGGCTGCGGTGTTCTTTCTGGTAAGATTGTTCGCCTTCGTCGTAGTCTCTATGGCTTGAAGCAAGCATCCCGCACGTGGCATAAACACTTGGTTAGGGGCATGACGAGTCTTGGTTTTGAACAGTGTGCTGCCGACGCTTGCGTCATGCGCTTGATCGAAGCGGGAGTTGTCGCCATGGTCGTTGTCGTCCATGTCGATGACATCTTTGCCATCTGGAAGAAGAGTCGGTGTGAGCAATTTGGTAGTGACTTGAACGAGTACGTTCCCATCACCAACCTTGGAGAACTTCGCTTGTACGCTGGTATTCGTTTTTCTCGTGGTTTTGCTCAGGGAACCATCACGCTTTCCCAACAGATGTATTCCACCACCATGGTCGCGAAGTTTGGTGTCACCCGTAACAAAGAAACCCCCATGGCCGTTGGCGTGAAGCTTGAGGAGTTTGATGCGTGTGAACCTGACGTTACAGAGCCGTTTCGCTCTTTGGTGGGGCACTTGATGTGGCTTGCGAATCAAACTCGGCCGGACATCCTCAACGCCGTCCGTGCCGTTGCACGGTATTCTTACGCGCCCAAGTCCGTACACTGGAAGGCTGCGTTGCATATTGTGATGTACATTAGATTCACGAGTGCGTACGGTATTACATTTCAGCGGGGTACGGTAGGTGGTGTTAGCTTGGAGGTGTACGTGGACTCGGACTACGCTAGCAAAGCGACGGACAGGCGGTCTGTGTCGGGAGGTGTTGTCATGTGCGCGGGGTCCTGCGTGTCTTTTTTCTCTCGGACTCAGAAGAGCGTCACGCTGTCTTCTACGGAAGCTGAGTACGCTGCAATGGCCGATGGGATGAAGGAGGCGATTTTCTTGCGGTATCTCTGGAGTTTTATCTTTCCGGATGGGGATGTGGGGTGCACTGTTATCAAGGAGGACAATGTCGGGGCGCTTCATTTGGCTAATAACCCAGCCACAACCCCCAACTCCAAGCACATTGACATCCGCCACCATTTCATTCGTGAGCGTGTTGACCGGGGGGAGTTCAAGGTCGTTTTTGTTCCGTCGCATTTGCAGCACGCCGACTTTCTTACGAAACCACTACACAAGGAGGCGTTTTCAGTGCACCGCAACTTTGTCATGAACCTTTGAGGCATTCTTGGGCTGTTCCTGTCCTGTTAATGTTTGGCGGCATGTCTTTTGGCCGATGTGTGTTTTTCTTGATGTTGTCTTGATGTTGTTGGGTCACTGCTAGCACTGCTGTCGAAAATCATGGGGGGGGATGAATGTGATGCTGAGATGCCATGATCTTCGCCGCAGTACAAGCAGAGTTCTAGCGGACGTTCGGGTTTGATTGTTCATTGTGTTCACGTTTTCCACGTTTTACCTGCGGAGTTTGAGGCAACTTCGTCCTCAATTCTTGTTTGTTTGCGATTTCGCGTTTACCTGCGGAGTTTGAGGCAACTTCATGATACTTGTCTGATTCCTCGTTGCTAGGATAAGAAACACATTTCTTGTTTATTCGCGATTCCGCGTTTTTCCCGCGGAGTTCGGAGGTAACTTCATGATATTCGTTTGATTTCTCGTTGTTTGGATCCGAGAGTTGTTGCAGCAGGGGGGCTGTTAGCGTTTGTGTTTTGGGAGATGATGCAGCAGGGGGGCTGTTAAACTTTTATGTTTTGGGCGATGATGCAGCAGGGGGGCTGTCAAGAAGTCCATGTCTGGATGTTTGAGAAACGGCATAATAATTGGCGAAAGTTTCCTCTGGCGTCTTTGAACGCCGGGTTTTTAACGTTTGTCTATTTGTGCCGCATGTATTAGGTATTCATGACTGTTCTGAACGATGTATTGGAGGAAGGATTTGACATATTTTGGTAAGACATGGTTGAGGCCTATGTGCTTCCGAAGCTTAGTTCAAATTGGTCAATGAGTTGAAACACAGTTTTGTGCGAGGGTTTTGTTCGAGGTATTTGTTGACGCGTTTTGCCAGAGTTGTCCGTCCAGAGTCTTTATGACGTGGCTCTGATGTAATGTTGATCTTTGCTGAGTATTCTTCCAAGGATAATTCTTTGTGTTTGACTGCTTGAGAATGTGGTGACGACATTGTCTCGAGAGGGGTGCTTGTTAAGACTCTCAGTGAAGTTCCATAGTCGTAGGAGGAGTAGTAACCTGAAACTTGAATATTCGATAGATCCGGGAGTTGAGATGATTTAATTGTGGATACGAAAGATGAATGGTTTTTAGATTTGTTGCCGTTTTACCTGGCGATATGTACGGAGGATCTCGTAGATCGTATCTCGTACCGAGTAGGGGGGCTGTTTGTGTGTGTACTCGGCAGGATACAATTCTCCGAGATCTCCGAGGGGGTTACGCAGATGAGATAGATATGGGTATGATAGACAGACTTGGTGCAGCAGGCTTTGCCTCTTCTTGCTCACGTCTGTCACTCGTTAAACTCTCTAATAAGCAAGGAACTTGAGTCACTCCTTTGTGCAACACGCTCTCGACAAGAGCCCGCGAGCGTGATAACATAGTACACGCGCCGACACCCCAAACAGCCCCTACTGTTTGCTGCATGCAGTGCTGTGTGACAGCTTCCAGCGGTTCAGAGCGGCGACGGTGGCTTTTCTATGCTCTCTTTCGCCACCTCCCGGAAGCCTGTCGCGTCTTGCTAACTTGTCTTTGTTCTCCCTTCTTTCTACTTTTGTTTTTGTTTTTCATGCTTTGCTTTTTGGGGTCCGCCGGTCACCCACCCACCCATTATTTCAGTTCTAATTTTTGGTGTTACTTGCCCATGTCTATAAAACTGGGCGCACGTTTCGAAATTCTGAAGCTTTTCTGAAATCTCATCGTTCGATATCCGTTCGGTGGAGAACCGCAAATAAATCATGACCCGTCCCCGAGCGTGAGCAGCTTCCGCCTCCTGTGGCCGGCAAGAGTCGACCTTCACTGTACCTTGTCTGTTTCGCCATGGGAATTGCCGGTTGAACAGCGAAAGAGGGTCCTGCGTGCTGCGCGCCACAACCTTTGTCTTTTTTGTGATTTTCTTCCTGAGTGACCGTTGTACACAACATGCGGCTGCTACTGTACACATACATGCGGTTGCTGCAGTGTATGCCCGGAATGTGCTGCAAACGTCGTAAAGTTTTTGTCTCTGTCGTTTGGGCTGCACCCGTTGCTCGCGTCTGCTCGTTATCCATGAAGAGCAACGGCAGCACATTTGAAGCGACAAACAACAACAGACGGTCCGCCTTAGTTTCTTGTGTTTGTTTGGCTGCGCGGCATGGGTGGTATGCATCGGTGAGCGTGTTGCTGGCTTACCTTGAGTCTGCTGCGTAGTCGTAATTTGAGCGATAAGGTAGGCAGGACAATCGTATTCACGTGATGAGGTATGATGACCAACAGTCAATCTGCTCGTTCGTGCAGCGGTGCGCATCTACCGCGGACGGCAAGCGCATTGAGATGATGGTTCGTCCGTGGTGCTACAATCATGTTCTTCTTAGTTCTCTCTTCCTACCACAAAAGATAGTCCACAATTCGCAAACGGCGGCTATATTTGTTTGTTGTGTTGTTTGTTGTTGCTGAGCCCACATCAGATATCGCCGTTCGAGACACATCATGTCTGACAGCCTGCGGTGGACCAGAGGGACGAGAGTGAGTGTCTTCTCGAGAGTTAATGCCTTGTCTTCTCTCCGATCTCCTCTTTTAGTCTACATCTTTCTCTCTTTCGCCTTTCAGAGGGACGAGAGTGAGTGTCTTCTCGAGAGTTAATGCCTTGTCTTCTCTCCGATGTCCTCTTTTAGTCTACATCTCTCTCTCTTTCGCCTTTCGCCGGTGGGTCCCAACAACATCGAACGTCAACCGCAGTCGTTTTGCTTCTCGCTGCTGCTGCTGCATGTGAAGCCATGGGCGTTGCATCTTAACCCTTATGTGACTAACCCCACTCTGGGGTGAGGATAGCAGTGAGGTTACTCTTCCTAGCTATACAGTTTTGGTGTTCTGAGCACTGCCGACCAAGGGCTATACAGCGCGAATAGATCGCGTGCGCGCGTGCTCGCGCCGTGCGGGGGCACATGCAGCAGAGTCCCTCCGAAAAAAAAACACACGCGGGAGTTCCACATGTTCAGCAGCCCCGCGACACGAGGGCAGACCTGCCTCTCGCGCGCAAACACCAAAAGGCGGGCAACAGGCGCGATGAGGACCCAATTTTTCACGCTACTGCTTGCAGTGTTCCGTCTGTCCACCATTGCTGCTGCTGTGGCAGATAGCGAATGGGTTTTGGAGGGTGGCGCCTTGACACGCAACGAGCTTCAACTACTGCCTGCCGTGCGAGGCCGTGCCGCGTTCGAGCGTGCGCGTCTTGCAGCAAAGCCAATCTCCATGGAGTGCGTCGAGCGAAAGAAGAAGGAAACCAGCGACGGCGGCCGCGAAACCCGCACAGTGTTCCTGCCTGTGGATAGAGCAAGGGTCAAGCATGCAGCCGGCGACGGGTCGTGCGGGTACCACTCCATACGTGGTGGCCTGCTGGGTTGTAAAGGGCAAGTGAACACCCCGCATGATGTGGATGCCATCAAGACAGCCCTGGTGTCCTGCCTACTCCGGCACGTGCTCGGGACAAAATTCGACCCCGAGGCAACACTTTCAGGCGACGAGGTGACGAAGGGCAGAGATATGGGGTTGACTGAAATCAAGAATTGCGCTACTGGCGAAGTGATCGAGGGGCAGCCCAAAGGCGAGCTAAGGTGCGATTGGTTCGAGGCAAGAGTCAAGGAAAAAATTGAGAAGGAGTGGCTCGACGTTAGCTGGCTGGCTTTCATCGCAGACCTGTACGAAGTGAACATCGCAGTGTGGGAGCCTACGGGGTCGGGACAAAACTCAACGCTTTATTCAGCAGTCAGCGCCAGGGGTCTCTTCTTGTTCGACAAAGCACAAAAAATGGACGAGGCCGGAGATTACTGGATCCACCTTTTGTTCCGCAATGTAGGAGATCCATGGGCGGCACGTTCTGGCGCCAACGGCGTTGTAGACGAAAACGCTCAACCACTTCGACTGGTTGGAACTAGGAGCGGACACGGCATCCGCATTCGAGGATAAAATCCGCGGAGGGCAACAGCAGCCGGAGGACCCGAGGGAGACCGCACCTTCGCCGGATTTCGGGCCGACTGAACGCCAGAAGAGGGGTGTCTCTAAGGCTAAGGTGAGACTCACGTACAAGTCGTGTCTGGACAAGGATGGCAGACGAACGACCCGACCTTCGCGAACGAGGTTGGGGACCGATGGGAGCCCCGTGAAAAAAAAGCGTGCTTTCGGAAAGGATAAGCAGCAGCCCGCTGGGTCCGGGACGCGCGCGCCTCCCAACTCGAAGGACAGAGTGATCAAGAAAGAGTCAGGCGCGTGCAGGCGGGGGAAACAGAAAACCGGCAACCTCGAGCCGCATGCGTCATACGACTCAGACGGCAGCATCGGTGAAGGAGGAAAGGATTGGACGCACCACAAGACCCCTGGAGCGTCGACGGTCTCGACGAAGAGTAAGAAGAAGCTTGCGGCGGACATGAGGAAGATCAAGGAAGTGGACTACCAGCGGGCGTTTTTTCTTAGCAACAAGAGGAAGGCTTTGGGTGATAAGGTGGGCTTTTGGCATTCGCTTCAGAATTTCCATTGCCCCTACTGCGATCTGTGTCTCTTCCTTAGAAATCTACATTTGCATACAATCGAGGCTACCGGTTGGTGGTGCTGGCACTTGCAACTTTTTCTTGTTCCCTTCTCGTTCGTGAATGCAGCACACACCGTCCCTCAAGTTCGTTTTACTTGCTCACATCTGTTGTTCGCTATTTAGCGAATCATCGTTCGTGTCCAAGTTGCTTGTGTGCTGTGCTGTATGTTGACCGTCAATGGTTTGGTTTCTTCCGTAATTAAATTGTTGCATTATTTTTTTTTCGTGCGTTCATCAGCACCCGTGCCCCGGACTCTCTTGGCCACCTGTGTATTAGCCTTTCATGTTTTCTAGGCGTTCACACATGTTGCAAGTGTTTGAAGCGCCGTTCCCTGCTGCGCTGGACTGGTGTAAATGGGTAGTATTACTATTTTTTATTTTTGCACCCGCCTTGCGTTCGTGTTCCGTCTGCGTTATCACGACCCCTATGACAAATGACGTCCCTGCCTACTTCTTTGCTCCCACCCCCCCGGCCGATGGTTTCCCGCGACATGACCAATGCAGCTCCTCAGGATCAAGGAAGAGGAGGACGAGAAAGCGAAGGAGGCAGCAGAGGCAGCGAAGGCAGCAAAGGGTGGCGCGCGTGCAGCCCCCAAAAAGCCGAAGAAACGGCGGCAGCCGAAACCGGTGGTGGAGGAGGAGGAGGAGGAGGAGGAAGTCGATGAGTCCTGGGATTGGTCGGAGCGGGGGATCCCAGACTTCGAGAACACGGACGCGTACAAAAGGCGCAACAAGAAACCCTCGGCAGGGTCCTCTGCTAGCCCGGTGTCGCTATCCCAGAGCGCGCAGGAGAAGATGCCGTCGCTGGACCAGTTCATGGAGGCGATCGGCATCAACTCCGGGGCCTTCGCGATCGAGCAAGTGGTGGGGACGTGCTTCGATATGAACTTCCCCAAAGAGGCAGTACAACTCTTCGTTGATAAGGTGCGTCTTGTTTTTTTTGCAGTTTTTTGTGTCCCGTATTTTGCACCCCGAATGCGCCGGGCACGAGAGCCGGGCCCGCTCACCCGAAAGTGGACCAGCCACTGTGTCGCACAAAAGTCGACTTCGTACAACGCAAAACAATAAAATAAAATGTTTCCCTCTCCCTCCTTCATGTATTTGGTCCCCGCTGGCGTTGTTTGTGTTGTAGGCATGACTGTTGTTGAAGACACACACGGCATTTATTTCACTTGAAAATTGCAGGTTGGGAAGAAGGTTTTCATTGTCCTCCCGTTAACTTTTTTGAAATAGGTGCTCGTACATTCTGATTATACCCGATTGGTCGGTGTGTTTCGAACTCGAGATCGTTTTTTCCTCTCCCGGTGCAACTCTGTCTGAACGTCCCTCCTCCCAACGACATGACACACGAGACGCTCGGGTCCAGGGCGTACGGATATACCACACTTGTTGACCCCCTATCCCACCTCCCAACTCACCCCAGCCGAAATATCTACCGATGCCGATACGCCGAAATCGTCATGTTGCACCAATCTGCAGGACATCATTTTCTCTCGGGCGAAACAAATTAGGTGAAAGGCTGGACTGCACAGGAAGCGCATCACGACCGCATCCCTTGCATGTTTGCGCATACTTGAACCACTCGTACTGCAGTAGTAGCATTATCCACCACGTCACCCATTCGCCCATTCCCCTCGTCGATTGTTCTCCGCCCAGACGAATGCTTACGTTGAGCATTGCACGACGGAACCGCTAGAGGGTGAGGTGGACCCTCGGCGTAAGCACCAACGATCGAAGAAAAGGACGCACGGTCACGTTACCTTGGATGATCCCGCCGAGCCAGACCAGGGTAACCCGTTCAACGAGGACAACATCTACGGCATGGTTGGCCTCACGATTACGATGGGACTCACGAAGAATACCCGTATGAGAAAGCACTGGAGTACATCAGAACACGACAACTACCCTCTTGTGCGCAAGTGCATGCCGCGAGACAAGTTCGAGCTGCTGTACAGTCGGTTCATCCACTGCTCCGACGCCAACGCACCCTCGCGGCTCCTCGACGACGGCACAGAAAGCCCGGACTACGACTCCAAGTGGCACATCAGGTGAGACGGGCGGTTTGTATTCCTTTCTGGTTGGTTGTGGTTGGTCTTCGTCTTGTACCCGTTTCTCCGTTACAAAGACGTGACAAGATCCTCAGCACCCTTCACTCTCGGCAATCCGTCACCGTCGCGTGCTAGCGAAAATCGGTGTATGTCTGTATTTTTATTTTACTACTTTTGTTTTTAGTCCCTTGCGTTGAATTTGGCGTGTACATGAGGACGGCACTAAGATTAATAAAGCCTTTCCTCGCCGACCGTGATGTCCCCGCTTGCATTCGGGGCCCAGTACACGCGTGCCGTCAGTGTATCTGGTACGTTCGGGGAGATGATGTCCGCCCACACTGTCACTTATTATATCGCGTGTTCTGTCGTCACCACCCGTGCCTTCGTCACATCTCGGCAGGTCGCTGGAGGAAATTCTGAACAAAGCCTGGGCGGAAAACGTGGACATCAACCAGTGGCTGGCCTATGACGAGCAGATGGTCAAGAGTGTTTCGACGTTCTCCAAGTTCCTTCAGAGGTTCAACCCCTTGAAGCCGATCACTCACGGTGAGTCCCACAATATTTTCGGTGTTCGTTTCTTGTGGCAATCAACGCGACGAGTACTACGTCCGCGTTGCTTGGCTGAACCTCTCTTTTTTTAATGGGTAGTTTCAGAGCTGTTTGATCTTGTTTTATGATATTGGTTGTTTCGAAGACGAATTCGGGGAATTGACATCGCTTTCATCTTTTTTGCTCTTGGATTGCCTTACATACGTAGCGGCAGGGCGAGGCAGTACGTTTTTTTTTCTTTCGCGGTCGGCTTGGATAGTGTTGTGTCCCGACTGGGGCAGAACCCGGTACACGCCTCCCGGGACTGGGATACACGGCCGGTTCCACTTCCATCAGTCTTGTATCAGAGTATGCATTTGGGTTTGACACACGGCACCCAAGACCTGGAGGGTAAATCGTGATATATTTCGTACGCAGCAAAGCCGGTGGCACGGCGCCCACAGAATCACGGGGTACCTCATATTATATTATACATACCAGGCGAACCACCCCCCTTTACCCGGGTACCGGGGTTCCAATCCGCAGATACCCGGTGCCAGTTTATCGAGCCGGGGAAAAACCCTAGTCGTGGGTGACCTTATTTTCTCGCCGGATTTCCCTCCTCGCTGTAACAACAGGTATCAAAATGTGGGCTCTGTGCGATGTAGAGGGGTACTGCTTGATATCGAGCGTCGACGGGGGGATGACCGGAGACCCGAACCTACGTCAATGGATGGACTGCCCACTCGGGCGCACGATGCGTCAGGTGCTTTGGGTGCTGCTTGGCGCGAGCCCGGTGTTGAGGGAGAAGCTCGTTGGATCCGGCGTTTACATCGCCATGGATAACTATTTCACCAACCCGACGCTGTTCGAGTGCTTGGCGTCCCACGACATCTTTGCGGTTGGCACGTGCCGTTCCGATCGAACGGCCGGAGCGGTGCCATACCTCAAGAGCCTTGGCCACAAGCTTGTCGAACGTGGTGACATGCAGTTCTGCCGTTCGGGAGAGGTCGCGTTTGTGCAGTGGAAGGACTCGAAAGATGTCCTCCTGTGTAGCACCATCCACATCGCGCAGCCGGGCGAGGGGGAGGAGCTGGTGGATGGTGGGATCAACCACTTCAAACCTCTTTCGCTCCAGTGAGTATATGCGGGTTTGGGTTCCTTTCAGTTCATTCGCGCTGCCGCCTTCTATTGCCCATGTGATGAAAAATAGATCAACTCCCCGCCTACCTTCTAACGCTACTAGTAAATAACTCTGTGATGTTGTGTCTTTTGTATGGGAAGGGGGCGTTATTGTTTTGTCGTTTCGCGCTGCGTTCTCGTGTCCTTGCCACAAAACGAAATTGAACCTCTCACCTGCCCTGTACAATATAGACTCTGTGTCTATTTTTGTCGAACGTGTGTGTGTGTGTCCAAGGGTCAACGTGAAACAAAATCCAAGAGACATGAGACAAGGCCCACAAATCGAAAATCGTGGTGGTGGTGGTGGTGGTGGGGGGGGGGGGTTAATTTTTTGGGGGGGGGTACCCCCAAATTCCTAAAATTTCCTAAAGGGCACCCTGGAAATTAAAACCCCCCCCAAAAGGGGGGGGGGGAATAATTTCCTTAAAAAAACCCCCCCAACTTTTTTCCCAAAAAAAAAAAACAAAATTTC